TCCAGTGTTTAGGTTTTATTTTGCAGTCTGTGAGGTGGGTCCAGACGTTTGGGCTGGCTCGGGTTCCGGCTCATGTTAGGCTCAGCGGGGGAACGGACTGTTGCGTCTGCGGACCAGAGCTGACGAGCCTGCCGCTGTTGCTGCTGCTGCTGCTGCTGCGGAGACACACGGACAGACAGACCGGACCGAGGGGCGGGGAGGGGGGGCGCCCGCCTGTTCTGGGCTCTCTCGACCCTTTGCGGATCGAGCCGAGCCCCCTCCCGTTTCCACCCAGAACCACCCCCCAACCCGTCCCCTGTCCGGCTCCGGATGGGGGGAAAGCAGAGCACGGCGGGTCGGCCCCGGGGAGCCTTCCCCGGCGTCTCCTCGGATGACAGCGCGGTGCCACCCTCGGCCCACTTCGGCCACTACCGGCCGAGCGGCACCACCATGGGCCTGCGGAGCCGATCGGTGAGCTCCGTGGCCGGGATGGGCATCGACCACAGCCCCGCCGTGCCCTTCGGCTTCTACACCCCCAGAGGGACTGACTCGGATCGAGCCGGAGGGGGGTCCGGGGGCACCACCGCGGCCCCCCACGGCACGGGCTACCAGGACGGTGTGGGCGGAGGGCATCATACGGACGGAGTGCTGTATCTGGGGTCCCGGGGGTCGCTGGCTGACACCTTGCCCCTGCACATCGCGCCCCGCTGGTTCAGCGCGCACAGCGGTAAGATCTGCCGCACGCGCTCACGCCCAGCTGCAGGTGCAGTCTGGGGGGTTAATCAGAGACCCCCACAGACACCTTCAGACTGGATACATTTATTTTTTGTTAAAAAAGAAAGAAAAAAAAACTCACAATGAGCCCTGAAATAACAGGAAACTGTCAGAAGTCMTAATTAGGGGAAAAAGTTGAAAATCAACTAATTAACATTTTGAATGAAGTTTTTGTTTTAGTTCAACAGAATCATTAAAAACAAACCAATGAAACAGGCCTTGACAAATATAACTGTAACCTTTTATGGCAATCAAAGTGATTTCTGCCACTCAGACTCCTGCACCTGTCCACAGGTGTTAGATCCACGTGTGCAGGTGAGCTAACYGCTGCAGGTGTGTCAGGTCTGAAGGGTTTCTTCTGTTTCAGCTCCTTCAGCAGGATTTAGATCAACACTTCACAACACTGTTGTTTAGTTTTTAGCCATTCTCAGGTGTTTTTAGCTGTGTGATTTTAGCTATGTTTTAGCTGTTTTTTTAGCTGAGTGTTTTAGCTGTGAGTTTTAGCTGTGTGTTTTAGCTATGTTTTAGCTGTTTGTCTTTAGCTGAGTGTTTTAGCTGTGAGTTTTAGCTGTTTGTCTTTAGCTGAGTGTTTTAGCTGTGAGTTTTAGCTGTTTGTCTTTAGCTGAGTGTTTTAGCTGTGAGTTTTAGCTGTGTGTTTTTAGCTATGTTTTAGCTGCTTGTCTTTAGCTGTTTGTTTTTAGCTATGTTTTAGCTGTTTGTTTTTAGCTGAGTGTTTTAGCTGTTTGTTTTTAGCTGAGTGTTTTAGCTGTGTGTTTTAGCTGTGTGTTTGTAGCTGTGAGTTTGTAGCTGTTTGTAGCTG